CTTCACCGTACTTCACTCGTACTTCACTGTACTTCAATCGTACTTCACTGTACTTCAATCGTACTTCAAATTGTTTTTGAAGTAGATGAAGTCTTGCTTTTTCCCCCTTGGGCTTAGCACATACAAAAGGTCTCCGATTCAAGATATTCATGCAACGAAATCTATTGTAGTGCATATTCTTTATCTTCACATCCTGTTTAAGCCAATAGACAATATGATCTTTATTCATTTACTTTCTTTCATTACACTATGAATACAATATGTGAACATAGCAAGATTTCTCTGCATGTTTTGAATGAAAACTTTGAAGCTTAGTTTAGTAAAAGAACAAGAATAATTTAACATTGAATCTTGGGATCTATTGGAATCTCTTCTTTTAACACAGAGACTTGGTCATAATCAAAATACAAAGTCAATCAGTGTTGATCAGTTTGAATATTTCTCATAAAAACATACACTTTTTTGAATACGAGACCAAACACTAGATACTAGTGACATCTATTTTGGACTTGAAATGATCTATTGCTTATTGAATTTGAAAAAACATTAATATTTAAATTAATTTAATAAAAGAAAATTCTTTCAAAACATACTCTTTTTCTATTAAGTAATATTTATGGGTGTATAAAAAAACCAATAGAAAATATGGACTTTAAACAAGAAATAAACAATACTGATTCAAAAAGAAGAAAAATTAGATATTTTGTCTTGTTAGTTCTTCTATACATATTTTCTTTAGGTGTTTTTCTTAATCATACTAATTCATTCTTTTTTTTTTGTTCTTCAGATCCGTTTTAGTCTCTATTTCTATCAATTTCAATATGTCTGACAAAAAAACGTCAGGTACTGCAACATCAGCTACTAAAAAAGCTTCCGTTGCCAATAAAAAATCAGCGACAGCAACCCCAGCTCCACCAAAAGCAGAGGTATATTGGAACTTACTTTCTATTCTTTCATTACATTCTATTAATTAATAAAATAGAAGGTTGAATTAACTAAAAAACCGGCAACAGCTACGGCTACATCAACACCAACACCACCACAACCTAAACCAAAGGCAACAACACCAACTGCTAAATCAACATCATCATTAGCTAAAACATCCACGAAAGTTACAAAAAAAACAACAACACCCTCAAAAGGTGCAAAAGGTGGTGCTAAAAAGAAAGTCAAGGCAATTAAATATCATATCGATTGTACACATCCAGTTGAAGATGGTATTTTTGATCTTAATGCATTTGTATGTATTAATTCATCTTTGTTTTGTTTTGTTTTGTTTTTAATTTAATAATTTAATATTCTTTTAATTAGGAACGATTTTTATTTGAAAAAATGAAGATTAATGGTAAAACATCAAATTTGGCTGAAAATGTTACTATCGAAAAAGCTAAAGCCAAGATTTCAGTAACATCTCAAATACCACTTTCGAAAAGGTAAAAAGTTTCTTTTTGGTTTTTTTTTCAATAAATAAAAAAAAAACGTATTTGTAATTCTTTGTTTTTTTTAGATATATGAAATATTTAACAAAAAAATTTTTAAAAAAACATGAACTTCGAGATTGGTTACGTGTTATTGCTAATTCTAAAGATTCTTATGAATTACGTTATTTCAATATCAATCAAGAGGAAAATGAAGGTGAAGGTGAAGCCTAAACTATTCATATCAGTTCTTTTTTTTGTTTTTGTTTGAGCACTTCATTATTGTACTCTATTGAAACAAAAAAAAAATAATAACAAGAAGAATTATATGATATTTAAAATATATTAAAAATTATATTTATGAAAAGTATAATGAACAGAATAGAATATTTAATTTCGAGATGTAAGGATGATGAAAATAATTTTTGATGAATACAACCAATAGGTAAAGCAATTGATTCTAATGATTGAGTTTTATTTTTTGGTACAAATTGACATGTAGGTGGTTGAAGACCACCACACGTATTTGGAGAATTTTGAGAACATTTACAACCCATTGTTATAGCTGATTGTGGAATTCGATTAGCAAGAGATGCACGAGATTGTTCACTATTTGAATAATTACGAAAAACATCTTCTAATATACGCATAACAAATGTTGTATTACACGAATTAAAAACAAGTGCTCTCATATAAGTTAACCATCGTATATTTGTTTCAATTGTATCTATAAATGACATTGTTGATGGTCCATCTCCATGTGCTGGATAAATAAATGTAGAGTCTGGAAATGTACAACTAAGACTTTGTAAAATACCTATCCAATTACATACATGATCATCTGAATCAGGATAAGTATCTGATGGTGATACAAATAAATGACTACGTACTGCAACAAGATCACCAGTAAATAAAGCTTTAACTGAAGGTATATAAATCATTGATGCATGAATTGATTCAGCAATAGGAAAATTTGAAATGATATGTATTTGTTCATTATTAAATATAGTTAATGGATGATCAAGTACTTTGATATGATCATTATATGAAAATTGATCAGGTGATTGACTTTTATCAAGTAATATTGATGTTTCAAATGGATTTATTTTACGCCAAATTTCTAGCCAATAATTCATTTCAATTAAAGCACCTGAATTACTAACATAAACTGGTAATTGTGTAACATTCAATTCATTCAAAAGACTAACAAGACCAAGAATATTATCTGCATGTGTATGTGTAAGAAAAATAAACGATGGTAATGTACCATTAGGAAATTTTTGACGCCATGTTTGACCAAGTATTAAACCATGTTCCCAATAACAACCACAATCGATAATAAAACCTTCATTTTCATTTTGAACAATCCAACTATTGGATGAATCAACTGATATACGTACTTGTATTATATTGATCATGTATACATATTGTATTAAAAGAATAAAAGAAAAATGAACTATCATCATCATTTCATAGAATACAAATGATGACAATAAGAAGATAATCATTATTAAAATCGATTTTATTTATTTGCTATGAAAACATGTGTAGGTCGATTTTATCTCAATATGTACCAACAGTAATTTGTTGTCTTGTAAGAAAAAAAATACGAGATTAGTAATAAATATAATAAAATACGAAGAAAGAAAAAGATTTACAAATGTTGTTTTGTTCATTCTTCTGATAAAAAACTAAAAGTCATAATGAATAATACAATTGAAACAAAAAAAAATACATGTATCGAGTTTCGTTCGTAGTTAATGCATTTTTACAAGTTTGACATTTTGGCATTGGATGTAGCATCAGTATTGAATGCTCAAATAATAGAACATCGTAGAGAAAAAAAGATTGTGCACAATTAATTAAGTTAAAGGAATATGTTCAAGGTTCACTCATAAAGATGATTGATGATTGCTTTCTTTCCACATGTCTATCGAACCGAAAAAGGTAGTGAAAGGATGTGAACATGAGTGAAACAAAGACCAATATTCATAACCACATGCACATTTAAGCCACACTTATATTTCACACTCACACCTTCGAAGAAAGCCATGTTGTTTTAATAAACTCTATAATGAAAGGTTGAGGGTGTTATGATTATTACAATCGTGTTTCTTTATTTCTTTTGTTTGGTTGTGTGATATTTCCCGCATGATGTTTTAAAAGACGGGTTGTCTTTTAGACACACTAAATCCTTGTGGTTTGGGAAAAGCAGGCCTGTCTTTTTTTTTCAAAACTCAATTTCAAATGGAAACGACTATAGACTCGAAAATTTACGATGATGATACTCTTACTTTCTCTCGCTCTTTCTTCTTGTTATCTTATTGTTATCGTTCGATTTATAAGTTGTTAATTTTTTTTTATCTTGTATTGTTAACCTGGTTTTATAAGGACAATGAAGGTCCATGTAAAAAAACAAGTAAAAGAAAATTGGAAAAGATGATCTCTGTTCAACCAAGAGTTTAGTATTTACCATACTCGATAACCGATCAAACGGCAATAATTATATCCAACATGGGTAGACAAAGCTTCAAAGAATCTATTTTCAAATCAACAATAAGTGCCACTACAAATGCAATAGCTTCATCGACAACTATGCAATGAAAACGACTCATGGCT